AGGATGGTATCCAAAGAGTGAAAAGATAACTCACAGAATGGAAGAAAATACTTGCAAATTATTATTCTGATAAGGGTCTAGTGTACATAATACTTAAAGAAGTCCTACAACTCAACAACAAAAAGACAACGTAATAAAAAATGGGCAAAACACTGTGATACACATTTCTTCAAAGAAAATATACAAATGGCCAACAGCACATGAAAGGAAGCCCAGTATCATTGATCATTTGGGAAATAAAAATCAAAACTACAATGAAATGCCACTTCATACCCACTAGGGCGGCTATAATTTAAAAACAATTAAGTTTTGGCAAATGTGTGAAGAAAGGAAACCCTCATACGCTGCTGTTGGAAATGTAAAGTTGTGGAGCCACTATGGAAAATAGTCTGCAGTTCCTCAAAAGTTAAACATAGAGTTATATGACCCAGTAATTACACTACTAGGTATATACCCAAAAGAATTAAAAAGAAGTTTTCGAACAAAAACCTACAGAAAAATGTTCATAGCAGTATTACACATACTAACCAAAAGATGGAAACAACTCAAAACACCCAGCAACTGATGAGTGGATCGACAAAATTGGGTCCATCCATACACTGGCATATTATTCATCCATAAAAAGGAATGAAGCACTGACACCTGCTCCAATGTGATGAACCTTGACAACTTTATGCTAAGTGAGGTAAATCAGACACAAAAAGCCACATATTGTATGATTCCTTCGATGTGAAATGTGCAGAATGCGCAAATCCATAGAGACTGAAAGCAGAGCAGTGATTGACAGGAACAGGAGGAGACTGCTTAATAGTGCAGAAACTGCAGAGAGTGGTCATGGTTGCACAACGCCATGACTGTACTAAATGCCACGAAAGGTATACTTCAAAATGGCTAAAGTGGTATATTTTATGAGTTATCACATGCATGAAAAACTTGCCTGCTAAGGGTTTTTAAGGGTGAGGCCCCCACACTCAGCAGCACTGGACATGATCAGCATTATAAATTTTGGTTAATTTTACTGGTTTGGACATCTATGTTTTAATTTGAAAATTTTAATTATTAATGACCAGGTAGCTTTGCCTATGGTTATTGAGAATTTGAATGTTTTGAATTTTGCATTTGATTCTTTTGTTTTAGTTGTAAGGACTTTTTAATGTTCATACTACACTTTATCATGCATATTGCAAATAAAGAATGATGTTTTGAAATGGCTGGTGCGCATAATCAGGTAAGAGGGGTTGGAAGAGTACTTCAGTGAGAGGAGTAAACTAACGAAAGATTCCTAAGTGGAATTATCTTTCACTGGAATGCAAAAAAACGTGGGCTAGAATGCAGAAGAAAGCAAGTTGGTGGGGTTAAATTCTAGAGGGCCTATAAGATTTTTATTAGGACTTTTAATTGGATTACATTGATATTTGGAGATAATTGTAGAGCATCTGAAAAGGGAAATATGATTGAAATTCTACATTAGGAATGATTCATACTATAATGTGCAGGTCAGGTTGGTCCCGATACTGTACTATCTCTTTGAGTCTTTGAAATTGATAAAGTAAATTGGAAACACCAGGAACATTTGTAGTTCATTTAACTGCATATATTTGATTTATTTAATTTAACATTTAATTTGATATGTTTAATTGCATATTTGAATAATACTGCAGTTCTGATGAAAACATGAGTCGTGTGTGTGTATATATAGTCACAGTGAGAGAACACAGAATATGATAGTGAAAAATCACTATGTGTTCTTGGACCCACGCCTTTGTGTCTTTTTTAAACATTTTCTTGGCAGCTTAAAAATAAGAATGTAGCCCTGGCTGGTGTGGCTCAGTGGATTGAGCACCAGTCTGGGAACCAAAGGGTTACCGGTTGGATTCCCAATCAGGCCACCTGCCTGGGTTGCATGCCAGGTCCCCAGTAGGGAGCATGGGAAAGGCAACTATGTATTGCTATTTCTCTCCCTCTATTTCTCACTCCCTTCCCCCCTCTCTAGAAATAAATAAATAAAATAAAATAAGAATGCAGTTTGATTTTCATTCTTCTTAGAGGGGGTGTATGTGGGGGGGGCGGTGACATACTAGGTTTTGAGGACAATTAAAAGGGCAAAAAAATTTTTACTTTTTGGTTTCAGTTAGCCTAGATACTTGTTAAAGGTAACTAGGACAAAATGCATTTGAAACTCTCTTTGCAGTATTACATTAGATGACAACTTGCATTTTTTAACATTCTCAAAGGCTTTGATATAATGATGAAAAATAACTTCTGATTGGAAATAAAATTGCTGTATTCCTTGGTGAACAAGGTGAAGAGTTCTCCTCAATTAAAGACATGCAATATTTACGAGGAAGAAGATCCAGAAGCAGAGGTCTGTGGTTATTTTTGAAACACTAATTTCTGAACCTTACGCTTTTTTTTTTAATTTTAGAAAAAAATAAACTGGCAGAGCAAATAAGTAACATATATAGTTTATCTTGCTTTCTAAAATTATGAAGAGACTCCATTTTCATCTTTAGAGAATAAAAGTTTGGCAAATAGTTGCAAAAAATAAAAAATAATCTCTGGGCTTCAAATAAGAGGATCTGAATAAATCCAAAATTCATGCTTTACCACTCTCATTTCCCTTATCAGTAAAACTGGTGAAATTAATGCCTAGTTTATGGTATTTCTGTGAAAATAAAAATGGGAAAAATTGTGCAAAGTACCTAGCACAGCATATGAGACAAAGTAAATGCTAAATAAAAATTGTATTTACCTCTTGCCAGCATAGTTGCCATGGTTTCTGAGTCAGACAGGGTTCATTCGGAGAAGAGGAGCAACTATGAGTTGTGTAGAATAAGGAATTTATTATATATGGATTAGACCTGACACAAATAGAGAAACTAGTCGAGAAGTCTATGCCAGGCTGTGTAGCCTTTGTACCTAGTTTTGGGCTTAAAGTTACTGTAGGTTAGCTGGCTGCTCAGTTGAAGTGAGCAGAATAAGAACTGGAGGAGGGCAAGAACAAAGTAGAATTTGCAATGATGAATGGAACCCATGAGAACAAACTGGGTTTCATAAGGACAACTGGAACCTCAATAGTGCGAAGAACCTACTGGAGACATTGGTATTCTTTGCCATGGATTTTCACATATACTTTGCCCAGGACACTAAGAAGAGATGTTGGGAGAACTGGAGAAACTGTGGACTTGGTAGTCTCCCACACCAATAAGGTAAGCTAGAACATCAGCAACAACTATGAGCTGCCACACTGACTGGTACCCTACAGTGAACTTTAAAACACAAAAATAGCAGCTTTTAAAAATTTTCCACCATGAAAGTTTTGAGCAGACTTCTCTTGTGGCCAACCCTGACTCAGAAATATACAGCGAAGGGAATGAAAGGATTTTCCTTTTCTGGATATTTCATATAAACAAACTTATACATGGGATATTTTACATCTGGTTTTTTAAAAGTAGCATGTTTTTCAGGGTCATCCATGTTGGATTATATATTCGTTGTTCTTTCCTTTGACTTTGCTTTTATATCACATAAGGACCAGAGGGCATCAAGAAAACTAGAAGCCTCTCTTCCACTATAACAATAATGGCTAACATTTACTGAGCAGTTAGTGTGTGATAGAACTAGTTCTAAGCATTCTAATGCTTAGACATGCTTTATCTAATTTAATTTTAGTAACAACCTATGAGAGTGCTAGTATGATTATCTCTATTTTAAAGATGAGACAACTAGGCACAGCAAATTTAGGGTCACATAGCTAGAACTTGGTAGAGCCAGGGTTTTATTTTCTTTGCATCTAGACACTACTGAAGGGAGAAATGTGAGAAGAAAATCCTCAAGAGGGATAAAAAGCTAGATGGGAGTTTGAATTTGAAAATGACTTAGTTCACGATCTGAAGAAAATTGTCCCAAATCGTCAGGCTTCTCCACAGAAACAGAATATGTGTATGTGCACAGAGACACACACACGTACTTATGTAATTATTTATTATAAGAAATTGGATTACATAATTATGGAAGTTGAGAGTTCTACAATCTTCTGTTTGCAAGCTGGAAACACAGGAAAGCTGGTGGTATAGATCCAGTCTGAGTCCAAAGATCTGAAAATCAAAAGAGCCAATGGTGCAATTCCCAGTCCAAAGGCAGGAAAAATAATGTTCTAGCTTATGCAGTTGTGTATAGACAGTGAATTCTCTCTTACCCTGTCTTTCGTTCTATGCAAGCTTCCAACAGATTAGATGGGGCCCACCCTATTGGGGAGAGCAATCAGCCTTAGCGTACCAATTCAAATGTCACCTTCATCCAAATATGCTCTCACAGACACAACAAAAAATAATGTTTTACCAACTATCTGAGCATCTTTAGTTCAGTTGAGTTGTGACAAATAATTAGTCATCACAAATCCCTTTTTAACTTAGCACACATACACCTCTCCTTAAATTAATCTCCAAAAGAAAACAATATAAGGTCATAATTGCACCTAACATGATATAAGTGTCCTGCACACTGAAAATGCACTAACCCTTCCCCAGAAAAACAGGTGAAGTCCTTGAGTGAGAGGCACTCTTCTTGATATTCTATAACAAAAACTATGATGTAAGATTAACAAGTTAAATATTATGATAATTAGTTAATATATAGGATCCAGCACAAATAACACCCCTATTTTATTACAAAATCATAAGCATGTAATTCTATAACATAATCATAATCACCATATGACATTTTAGGTGAAATGTTCAAATTAAAACTATAAATTATTACACCTGTATTATAACCCTACCAACTACACTCAAGCAGGTGTTACTTCTGCTGGACCCGTACCTTATTTCACATGATAAGGGAATAAGAGAGCAAGGACTATAAAGATTTGCTTACTATATACAAATACACACAACCATATTTATAACAAAATAAGGAGGAATACTGATTATAGTCCTCATTTTTTTAGCTGGTCACATGGTTGTGGCTAGCTAGTATTTATACCTAACTTCTTCCATTACCTATCTGTATTCCTTTTGATCTCATCAAACAGCTCAGCCAGTTTTGGTCCTTTACCTGGTGGAGGGACCTAAACGTTCTTTTGGAAGGGGTTTGGTCTATTAGTCCTGCCTGGATTGGATTCTTGTAGTTTTCCATTGACCCTAATTATAAGACATGGTAACACCAAAAGACATCCTAAAGTGTCTGTTACATTGCAGACATACTCTTCCTTATCTCCCTTGTGAAGTAGCAATTCAATTTCCCCTTGGTAGTCAGGATCAATCACCTCAGCCTGCACAGTAACTCCCTTCTTTGCCTGTTGATTTAGAGGCATGATGAGTCCAAAGCGCCCTGCAAAAAAAGTTAAGCAGCCGTTTTAACTTTCAGTTCAATGGAATCATTGTTGTGTCTCCTACGGGGAGCATTCCTCCCTTTGGAACGAAGAACCCTGGGCCAGCAGAGCATAAAGTAATGGGAACAGGAAGCAAAAATTGTCGCTAGAGTAATAGTGAGTGGTAACACTCCTATTTTCAGTTCTTGATTTATGGATCTGTAATTTTTTATTAAATTTATTGGGGTGACATTGGTTAATAGGGTCATATAGGTTTCTAGTGTACACTTCTAGGATACGTGACCTGTATACTGCATTGCGAGCCCACCACCCAAAATCAATTCATCTTCGGTCACCTTACATTCAGCCCCTTTACCCTTTACTATGAATTTTGGCTTTAAGGAGAAACAGTACCATATATTGGATGCTAATTAAGAGTGTATACAGCCTTGTAGAGAACCTTGCCCCGGCCCTGTAAGGTACTGTCACCTAGCTGGTGCCAAAACTGATTTTTCAAAAGGTCTTCCCACTGCTCCATCAAGGCTGTTGCTTCAGGGGGTCAGGGGGATTATGGTAAGACCAGTGAATTCCATGAGCATGGGCTCCTTGCTGCACTTCTTTTGCTGGGAAATGAGTCCCTTGAGCAGAGGCAACACTGTGTGGCATACCAAGCTGATGGTGGTTTTGGCAAGAACACTGAGTGCAAGGAAGGCAAATCTGTATCCAGAGTGTTTATTCCAGTAAGAACAAAATGCTGCCCTTTCCATGACGGAAGTGGTTTGATGTAATCAACCTGTCACCAGGTAGCTGATTGATCACCCTGGGGACGGTCGTCATAGTGGCAGCTCAGTGTTAGTCTTTGCTGCTGATGGATTAAACATCCAGCAGCAGCTGTGTCTAGGTGAGACTTAGTGAGTGGAAGTCCATGTAGCTGAGCCTGCACATAACCATCATCCCTGCCACCACGGCCACTTTGTCCATGAGCCCATTGAATGATGACAGGGGTGTTTGCGGAGAGAGGCTGAATAATAGCCACAGAGTGAGTCACCCTATTCACTTGATTATAAAATCCTCTCCTGCTGAGGTTATCCTGTGGTGACCATTCACGCAGGACACAAATAAATATCTTCATTTTTTTGCCCATTCAGAGAGGTCTATCTACATACCTCTTCCCCAAGTTTCTTTGTCACCAATTTTGCATGTCTCTGAGCTGTCAAATCATTGGCCAGAACCCATGATTAGTATATAATCTCATATCTGGTCATAATCTCACCGCAAAATGAATAACCAGGTGCACTGCCGAAAGTTCTGCTTACTGCGAGAATTTTCTTTTAGCACTGTCCCTCGGGGATGTCACAAATATGGGGCTATAGTGCTGCAGCTGTCCATGTGCAGGTGGTACCTTACATATTGAGCAGAAGGATCCGTAAACAAAATCATAGGGAGCTCCCCATCAGGCCATAGGTACAGCTTGGGCGAGAGAAGATACTATAGCAAGAGTAAGGATCATGGGTATTTGGGTTACTTTTTTTTTTATTAAAGTTTTTATTTATGTTTCGAGAGAGAGGAAGGGAGGGAAAAAGGGAGAGAAACATTGATCAGTTGCCTCTTGCATGGCCCCAAATGGGGACTGGGCCTGCATCCCAGGCATGCGCCCTGACCAGGAAACCTGAGGCCTTTCACTTCGTGGGAAGATGCCCAACCAACTGAGCCACACCAGCTGGGTTACTTCATGTCACTTGTGCCTTCAGGGTCCATTTGGGCCCAATCACATATGTACTATTCTCATTTCATTATAGGGTGCTGCTGCGCATTTTATGACTTGGGTGATCAGATTACACTTCAGTTCAGGTTGCATGGTAACTTGATGGTCCATGGTTAAATATTCAGTCTCTACTAAAGCCCAGTAGCAGGTCCAGAGATATTTCTCAAAAGGGGAGTAGCTGACTGTGGAGGATAGCAGGGCTTTACTCCAAAATTTTAAAGGTCTGTGCTGTGATTCACCTACAGGGACCTACCTGCCAATGACTCAAACAGCATCTGTGTCTGTCACTAACACTTTAAACATCAATGGATCTGCAAAATCACGTGGCCCAAATCGCAGAGCAGTTTGCATAGGCAACTGGACCTGGTATAGCCTCTGCTGTTCTGGGCCTCTCTCAAATCTTGCAGCTTTTCAGGTTACGCAGTAAATGGGCCAGACTAACACACCCAACTGAAACCTATGTTGCTTCCAAAATTTAAAGACGTGTACTAGGCATGTGACTCTGTTTTGGTTGTAGCAGCAGCTAGATGCAACTTTTCCTTTACCATATAAGGGATATCTTGACATATCCCACATGACTGAAGCTCTAGAAATTTCATTGAGGGAGAAGGCACTAGATTTTTGTTGGATTAATACCCTCTGGCACAAATGTACTGGAGTAGTTACTACTTCTTGTCCACTAGACCTAACCAGCAAAAAGTCACCTATGTAATGAGCCCACATGATACTATGTGGAGAGAGAGGGCAATCGATATCTTTGTGAACTAAACTGTAGTCAGGGCTGGAGAGTTACTATACCCCTGAGATGGGACAGTGGAAGTGTATTGCTAGCCTTGGCAGTGAAAGCAAACAACTTCTGGTGAGCCTTATTGACAGGGATGGAGAAAAGCATTTCCCTGATCAATAGTTGCATGTCAGGTACCAAGGGGATGTGTCAATTTGCTCAAGCAATGAAGCCACGTCTGGTACAGTGGCTTAATTGGAATCACCATCTGGCTAAACATACAATAATTCACTGTCATGCCCCAAGATCCAGTTGTCCTTTCACAGGCCAAATAAGCAAGTTGAATGGGGATGTGGCGGGAACTACCACCCTGCATCCTTTAAGTCTTTCATGCTGGCAATAATCTCTGCAAACCCTGCAAGATCTGGTACTGCTTTTGATTTCCTATTCTTCTGTATAGATGGAATTCTGGTAGCTTCTGTTTGGCCTTCCTCACCATAATAGCCCTCATTTCATAGGCCAGGGAACCAATGTATTATAATTCTGGAAGTGACAAGATTAAGTGTTTCCTTCTACTGAGCATAAATGGGGCAGTGTGGTCATGAGCAAGTTCAGTTTATTTCCAAAGAAGTAAAGGAGGTTATACTGCTGCTAACCTGTATCATGACTATAAATTTTATACTGCTATACATGTAAACCTCTGGCATGTATTAAGCAATCTGTAAATGTTTAAAATTATTATTAACACCCTCATGGTTCCCTACCCAGAAGTCTTCCAAAATTCTAGGTTTTTGTTTTCTCCCAGTGGTCTCTCCTGGTTCTGGAGTTCTTCAGTGGTGCTGTGGTTTTCTGATACTGTTTGCTTGCCTTATAAAGCACACTTTTGGCCCTTGTTACTATCCTTTGCCTTCTATCTAGGTGTGTTAGTCTGTTCAGGTTGCCATAACAAAGTACCAGAGACTTGGGTGGCTTAAACAATAGAAATGTTATTTTCTCACAATCTGGAGGCTAGAAGTCCAAGATCAACATTCCTGCCAATCTGGTTTCTGGTGGAGGCCCTCTTTGTGGTATATAGCAAGCACATGCCCACGTAGCTATAAACACATAGTTGCAAAATGCAGGAAATACAAATTTAAATTTAACACTATCCTCATAGTAATACTTGTAGACATAATAATGAAATAACTATGGTGAAGTGTGGTTAGTGGTTTACTGGAAGTATCTAAAAGTGCATAAGGATTGTTTCCAGCACTTGGCTATTGCAAATTGTGCTGCTATGAACATTAGGGTGCATAGGTTCTTTGGAATTGGTGTTTTGAGATTCTTAGGGTGAAATCCTAGCAGTGGAATTGCTGGGTCAAAAGGCAGATCCATTTTTAGCTTTTTGAGGAAATTCCAAACTGTTTTCCACAGAGGCTGCACCAGTCTGCATTCCCACCAACAGTGTATGAGGGTTCCCTTTTCTCCACAACCTCACCAGCATTTGTTGTTTGTTGATTTGTTTATTATGGTTTTTTTGACCAGTATGAAGTGGTATCTCACTGTGGTTTTAATTTGCATCTCTCTGATGACTAGTGATGATGAACATCCTTTCATATGTCTCTGGGCTCTCTGTATGTCCTCCTCGGAGAAGTGTCTGTTCAGGTCCTTTGCCCATTTTTTAATTGGATTGTTTATCTTCCTGGAGTGGAGTCATTTGAGTTCTTTATATATTTTGGAGATCAAACCCTTGTCGGAGGTATCATTGGCAAATATATTTTCCCATATGGTTGGTTCCCTTTTCATTTTTCTGTTTTCTTTAGCTGTCTGGAAGCTTCTTATTTTGATGAAGTCCCATTTGTTTATTCTTTCCTTTATGTCCCTTGCTCGAAGCAGCCTAAGTGCCCATCAATAAATGAGTAGGTCAAAAAACTATGGTACATTTACAAAAAGGAATACTACACAGCAGAAAGAAAGAAAGAGTTACTACCCTTCATGACAGCATGGATGGAACTGGAGAGCGTTATGCTAAGTGAAATAAGCCAGGGGGCGAAAGACAAATACCATATGATCTCACCTATAAGTGGAATCTAATCAACAAAACAAACAAACAAGAAAAATATAACCAGCAACATTGAAAGAAAAAACACACCGACAGTTACGAGAGGGAAGGAGGGAGGGGAGAAAAGAAGGGGAAGGGTCAGATCAAGGAACATGTGTAAAGGACCCATGGACAAAGCCAAAGTGGGGAGGGAGTAAGGGTGGGAGTTTGGGGTGGGTGGGACAGGGGAAAGTGGTGGCTGGAAAATGGAGACAAATGTATTTGAACAATAAAAAAAAAAATTTAAAGAAAGGGAAACAAGAAATAGAACTGAGTAAAGATATAGAGGAGTATTTTTATAAAAACAGTGCTATTGTGTTGTTGTAAAACTTGTATTCAAGATAGGTGTATGTGTCATGGGGAGTGGGGAGATTCTGTCTCATGATGTGAAGTGTGTTTCCTACTGTAGGCCACAGTTAAAAAAAGTTTGAAAAACCTATTCTAAACCAGAGGCCAAACCTGGGAGTGGGCTTCTCCCTCCACTAAAACCCTGTCAGTCACAGTGTTATCAAGTTGTATTTATTGAGCACCTACTAGGCATCAGGTGCTGTGTTAGCAAACAATGGGATTCTTGTCCTAAAGGGGCTCATGGGGTGGCTTATTACCAACATTTGTTGATCTTACAACTAAAAAAGAAAATTGCATAAAGAAACAAAAGAAAGGAGAAGTAAATGTATAGGGAAATTAGGGAATGTTATAAAAACTAGATGATTTCTAGTTAGAACTGAGGGAGGAGTCTATCTCTTTAAGCAGAACACATTGATGAAGACTATTTAGACAGAGAACTCCAAGTGAGGAGTCTTGAGAATTAGCTGATACCATTGAAATGGTTTTGTGATATAATGCAAAAATTCTCATCCATACTCAGTATTTATATATACAACTTGGGTTTTTTTCTGTTTCCTTTTTCTAAACTTAAATTTTATTTAAAACAAACTCTTTTCCCAACGTGGAATATAGTTGTCAAAAAACATTAAATATGATTTTAGTTCAAATTAATAGAAATGCAGAGTCCAGAAAAAGGGAGATAGTAGCGTCTCTCTATTCTGCACAAATATCAAGATGTGTTTTGATTACTGTAGTCATCCTGAGAACATGTATTACAAGTGATAATGAAACTATAGTGCTTTCGGATGAAAACAACCCCTATAGTGATGAGAAATGTAATGAATTAATTAATTTTTGGCTCAAACAACAGAAATTTATTTTCTTACAGTTTCAGAAGCTAGAAATCTGAGATCAAAGTGTCACAGGGTTGGTTTCTTCTGGGGCCTCTCTCCTTGGCTTGTAGATGGCTGCCCTCCTCTTATTTCTTCACATGGCCTTCTTTGTGAAGTCAGTGATGAGGCATTTAAATTGTGAGCCATGATAAGCATTTGAATGATTCAGCAACAAGGAGCCTAGAGGAGAGCAGACAAAGTAGATGAGAGAGAAGCATATGGTTACAGAGTAGAACTAAAACCACTGGCTATACAGAGTTATGGGAAAACTCCACTAAATGTAAAAAAGAATATTCTGACATATAAATTTGTCACAAATAATACAGGCTGCCTTGGAAAGGAGTTTGTAACCACTGTAGTTGTCAGGGATAGATATCATATAGAATATTCAAGAGCTATATAGAGAATCAAGTCAAATGATATTAAGATCCCTTGCAAACCTGTGACTTTTGGGAGTAGTGTCCCCACTTTTAATTTTGAAGATCTGTGCTAAGAGCCAATTATGGTGCATAAAAAGCAACCAAAGATGCTTAAGTGACTGTGGATGAGAATGTGTCAATAATCTGCCTGGGGCTCTGAAAATATTAGAGCCCCAGTTGTATTAGTCCCCTTTTGCTAGATATACTGGAGTTACAAGCAATCCAAAAATCTTGGTGCCTTGCTACAACAAAGTTTCTTTCTTACTATCGTCAAATTAGCTAAGTGACTAAAATTCTGGACAACATCCTCTTATATATTGGAGTCCGGCTGAAAAAGAAGTCTATCTGGGCATTGCTGGAGTTGTGGAACCACATGAAGGCTTTTAAAAATTCTGCATAAAGTTGGCATCACCATTTCCACTCCACCTCATTGGTCACAGCAAGATCTCAAAAGGACGGGAAGGATGGCCCTAAACGGTAGGAAATATTTTGACTATATCAAGTCTTGTAGCCATGATTTGAAATTTAACAATTCCATACAGTGAAATAAATGACATCTAGGGAGTTAAAAAAAAACCCAACTTATTATAGAGTATTTATTTTAGAAGTGTATTTTTCCTACCAAAAGATAGAATAACCTAAACACCTACTACCTACTTCACTGCAGAAAGAGAAAACAGAATTCCCAGGCATTCATAGCATCTCTGTAAATTTACAGAGATGCAGGAAAAAGGTATCTCCTTATATTTCACTGATGTTTGTGAAGAAACATGTAGGAATATAAATATGTTTGTGAAGCTCTGATTGGTGTGGCTCAGTGGGCTGGGCACTGTCCAGCAGACCGGAAGGTCACCACCTGGATTTCCAGTTGGGGCACATGCCTGGGTTGCAGGCCAGGTCCTTGGTTTGAGTACATTTGAGAGACAAGTGATTGATGTTTCTCTCACATGTCAATGTTTCTCTCCTCTTCCTTCCCCTCTCTCTAAAAATAAAATCTTTAAAAAATATATTTGTGAAGAAACATAGAGGAATATAAGTATCCATGGCTTCCTAAATACAGTTGATAAAGACTTCGTACTTCCAAAGTAAAATTTTGAATAATTAAACAAAAAGATAAAGAATCTTCTGTCGGTCCATGACCAGAACTGGTTGGATGATGATGAGAGACATGACCCTGTTTCATGTGGGATCTGTGCAGCTGGGCATAGAGGAGCTGATTTTCAAAAAGGGACACAATTTGAGGCAAGACAATCAGAGTTAGAGTGGTGTTGGCTAGAAGTGAAAGACCTTGATGTAGGTCAGGAGTAATAGTAATAGAGAAGTAGGAACAAATGGAACACTATTGCAGAGATGAAAAGGATAGGACTTGGTGACTGATTAGATGAGAAGTCTGAATGAGAATGCCTCCAATGATGGCCAGATTTTGGGTTTCATGCAGCTGGACAAGTATTGTGAAATAAGTTAGAAATGCAGATTTAAGTACTAGTTACTGCATTCTAAATTTGTGACCTTGAACACATTTTATCTTAAGTCTCCATTTCTTCATCCATAAAACTGAGCTGAAAATAATACTCCCATCATAGAACTATTGTGAGAAGTTACTCTCTGTTACCAGTGTCAACTTCAAAGACCCTCTAAGACACTTTAGGGACTTGGGGACACACCTTAAGATAAAGAAGTCTGCTCTCCAGACTGCTATTTATCAATATTGTGTTGCTGAATGCACAGGCCACATGGACAACAGAGAGAGCATAAATGTCTCTAGCTTTGCTTCTAAATGGATATTACTAAAAATGCTTATACAAGAAAGTTA